CTAGCTTGGCCATGCGATTTTGAATTGACTGTAGTTTGGAGATTCCAACATGGAGACACCGTAAAAAAGGCTGTTGCAATAGTCCAGCCTCGAGTGAATAAATGCATGAGCCAAACTCTTTAGGGTAATCTCATTAAGTGAAATTTTTATAGCCCTCATCATGCGAAGTTGTCGATGACATTCACCAGTTAGCGACTTTTTGTGGCACTACATTGTCATATTACTATCGAATACAACACCAAGATTACGAGCAACTTGACATAGTTCAATCTTACTGTTGTTAATCTCAATCGAAGTGAAATTTAATTTGTTTATTTGCTGCCACGTACCAATTGGCAATAACTAGGTTTTGCATTGATTCAATTTGAGTTTGTGCTTGATCATCCAAGAATCAATCGCCTCCATGCACCGACCAAATCTTTCAACAAGAGCTTGAAATGAAGTAGCTGGACCACTGACAATGATTTGTATGTCATCTGCAAACCCATGATGCTTGAACCTGAATGAATCAATGATGTCGAAAACGTCAGCAGTGTATAGCAAAAACAGCAGCGGTCCAAGTACTGAGCCTTGCGGTAAACCATGCTTTACTTCCTGAACAGATGATAAAACATCTCTGCGTAATACCTGTTGTTTTCGCGCAGAGAGATATGATTCGAACCAAATAAGAACAACACCTGAGATTCCAAAACATTGATGTAGCTTTCCAAGTAAAATCTCGTGATTAACACAACCAAAGGCTGCACTAATATCAAGTAATATATATATATATACATTGGTACATGCTCTTATAACGTCTCGCCTTGATTATTGTAATAGCTTGTTTTACAAATTACCCCAGACATCAATAGCTATTCTGCAATCAGTTCAGAATCGTGCGGCTAAACTGGTGACAGGCAGACTAAAGTTTGATCATGTTACGCCGATATTGAATCAACTTCACTGGTTATCAATCAATAAAAGGATAGTCTATAAAATAGCATTAATAACATTTAAATCATTAAATGGCTTGGCTCCAGATTATATGTCCGATCGGTTTGTCAAGAAAACAACCTCCACGAACACCAGTTTAAGATCAGATGATAGGAACCTTTTGATGGTACCAGCTCATCGTTTGCAGACGGGATTGCGTGATATTGCTGTTGCCGGACCGATGATTTGGAACGCACTGCCAGATCCACTGAGAATACCAGGAGTTTCTCTTGACAATTTTAAAAAGGATTTAAAAACTCATTTATTTTCTTTAGTTTAAAATTTTTGGTACATTTTTTGTTTTGTTTATCCACTCGTATAATGTTTTACTGATGTGAGCGCTTTTGAGATTTTTCTTTTCGTTTTAATTAGCGCTATATAAATGATCTTTAATAATAATAATAATAACATGGATATATCCATGAATAATATATATATATATATATATATATATATATATATATATATATATATATATATATGATTTATCATTTATCCAAGTTTATTTGGCGTTGAGAATTATTCTGCCGATATTTATTAGGAAACAAGTTTAGCACATGGATATATATTATATCTATGGTTTTGCACGAAAAAAGTTTATGTTCTATGTTTTAAGGACGATATAATAGAACGGCTGCGACATGTAATTAATTGTTAAGAGAAACAAACTTTGAACGATCATCAAAAAGATGGATTCGCGTAAAAATCAGTACAAACCTACTACGTCCGCTGGGAGTGCCAGCTTGAGGAATAAAAAAAGAGACGAAAAAAACGGTATTTATTTTTTGTTTTTGCCAGTGGATCAAATTTTCAGAATCAGAAATTTTTTTTAATAATTTTATTTATTTTAATTTAATCAATTTAAAATTTAATTTATCAAACATCAACAATAATATTTTCAAAGAGTAATAATTGGTTTATTGGTTTTTAAAACATTAAACAGTATTGAAATTATTAAAATAATAACCAATATATATATTTTTATTTTTACCAGTTTTGCGCAAAGATAAAAGAGAAAAGGTATTGCTAAGGAAAAGGACAAGGCATGGCGTGTCGGAAAGTTCAGAGTATGAAATCACTACTGACCAGGTATATGCATTTAAATCTTAGTTTTTTTTTTTTTTTAGGTTATTAACTTATTTATGTCTAACATCATCAATAGTGAACCATTAGGTACTTTTTTCACATTCGGCCCAAATTTGGCTTCAAAAATTTTGTCTAAAACTGAGTTTAACTTTTATATCATTTTCACATAAGCTTCAGCAAAAATTAAATACCAGTTTAATAAATTTTAACAAATTTTGCAACATCAATACATAAAAATATTGTCAGCATTATAGTTGGAAAGAGGTAAATAACACATAGCCGGATATGAAATTTTTAGAGAACATATTTACTTATGAAGATGTTACTTTTATTAGTAATTGATGCACAAATTCAGTTTCAGTCGAATTAGTGATTTTAAGTTTGGCAAAATTTGGCCATACTGCATCACTTGATTTTTTGTT